CTTGGGCAAATGGTATTACGCATATGGGACAATGGTTTGTTGGAGGTGCACAAGAACTTCGTGATGTTTTATGTAAGTATGCCATCTAATGTAGGTTTCAGTTTATGTATGTCAAGAACGAGACAACAAGGGTTACTGTTGTGTGTGTGATGCGTGAGGAAAGAGGCTGCTTGTGGGCTATACATTATAGAGCACAACGAGCAAATAGTTTTTTCTACCTCAAGAGTTTTAGTGATGTGCATAATTGTGGTACAGATGTCCGAACATCGAAGAATGCACGAGTTAGTTCTGATTTGGTGTTGAGTACCATATCTGAAATTGTGAGGGACAAGCCGTTGACTCGGCTATGTGAGGTAATAACTATTTTGAAGAGGGATTGTGGGCTAGATATGAGTTACCACGTGGTATGGTTGGGCGTGGAGAAAGCAAATGCTGTTATTCATGGCAATCACTCATTATCGTTTGACCAGTTGCAGTGGTATTGAGATGCTGTGATGCGTTACAATCTGAGGAGTTATGTCAATATTAACTATAATGCGAATAGTCAACAGTTTTGTCATTTCTTTGTATCATTCGCTGCGTGTATGTCTGGGTTCAATTCTTGTCGGCCTTTATTATTCCTAGATGGAACATTCCTCAAAGGAAAGTACAAAGGTCAGCTACTTGCGGCAACGGTGAAAAATGGAAAAAATGTTTAGTATTTTTTTTAGCTGTCTATTTATGTAAATATTCACATTAAGCGGCATAGTGTGGAGATATGACAGACGATTACACAGTGTGTTCCACATTTACACTGGTGTCAATGTTTACATTAATACAAATTGATGTGAACAACAACATAATATGAGTGATTTAGAAATTAACACTGATGTGAGCATTCACATTAGTATACACTGATGTGAAAATGTTAGTTTATCCATTAATGGACATTAATGTGAATGTTCACATCATTGATGTTTACGAATCCAAATCCAAAAACAATAATAGTAATAGGGCAATGTAGATATAAACATCCACATGACCTGTTTCCTTTATATTGTTTTTTATTCGCTTTGGAATATTGTGAACAGTTGTTTAATGGTGTTGTGTTGTAGATCTATTTCCTGTTGCATTTGCGATTGTTGATTCAGAGACCACGGCCAATTGGTCATGGTTCTTGCACGAACTTGGGAAGGTTGTCGATGGTAAGCACCTGATTACTTTTATTTCGGATCGTAATCTTAGTCTGTTAGAATCTATGCCAAAGGTGTTCCCATCGACTCGCCACAGCTATTGCTTACAACACTTGAAGAGCAATTTAAGAGACCGGATGAAAGGAATTGATAATGGATTTAGGGATCGCCTAGTTAGTAGTTTGGGTGGCTGTACTTACGAGCCAACTGTGGTAGGGTTCCATGAAAAGCTTGCGAAATTAAAAGAGGAGGGTAAACAACGAGCACACAATTTTTTCAAGGACTTAGCACCTGAGCACTGGGCAAATTCATACTTCAGGTAATAGTAGTTTCCTAATGCATTCCATTTCTCAAGCTTAGAATGGTAGCGATGTGAATTTTCATTTATGTTTTGTGGCAATGTGAAATTTCATATTCAGTTTCGAAGAAATTAAATTCCGTATTGTACAATGTTTGTGATGTTGTGCAGGGGCATGCGTTATGAGGAGATGACATTCAATATGGCGAAGTTATTTAATAATTGGATTAAGAAGCACGCAATCTTCCTATCACTCAAATGATGGACACAATTCGTACGTAGTTGATGAGGCAAATGTCTGCACGGCGTGACCAAGCAAACAAATTGAATGAGCTTATTTGTCCTACATTTGAAACAATGCTTATGCATTCGTTCAACGACAGTAGGTCTTGGCAAGTTAGCAAAGCCAATGAGGATGTGTTTGAAGTTCATTCGATACCATCTGTTACAGTTGATATTGCAAGGCGTACATGTTCTTGCTTCAAATGGCGAATCAACCAATTCCCATGTGATCATGCTGTGATTGCTATTCAAAAGAGTCGCTACAATCTCAATGATTATGTGGAACATTATTTTCATGTAGACACATATCGTGCAGCCTATTCGAGTGCCATATTCCATATACCATCGGTAGAAAAGCCGCCTTTTGATCCCACGAACTTCATTATATACCCGCCAACTGTGAAAAGACCACCCGGAAGGCCGAAAAAGAATAGAATCCCATCAAAGGGTGAGAAACTGAAGCAAATAAGGTGCAGGAGATGTGATAAGTTAGGAAGCCATAATCTGAAATCATGCAAGGAGCCGATATAGGATGTACATTTTTCATTTCAACATTGTGTTTTACATTGGATTCTTATATTGATTAGATTGTGTTGTATTGGCAAACATTGTGTTGTAATAAGATTACGTTGTATTGGCAAGCAGAATAATGGTTTGGCAAACTTAGTATTTGATTTGTGTTTTTTCTTTTTCTTTTTGGGTATGAAACTGATATTTTGTTAAAGTTTTAATGATGAATACATGATGTGGACATTCACACTTGCGTAAACGAATCATATTATGTGAAAAGTCGCACATGGGTTTAACTTTTTTACATTATTGTTGTCAATGTTGACATGAATGAAAACTGTGATGTGAACTTTCACATGCATAGAGATTAACATGGGGTGAATATTCACAACTGTTATGAATAAGAACAAATGTGAATATTCATACGTGTATGTCATTCGTAATGATGTCATGTAGACAATGTGTACATTCATGCACAAAATGTGTATTACAGAAAAATCGGGTTCAAAAAATTGCATAAATTATGCTCATCACAACACAGCAATATGAATATCATAAGTGAATATGAACATTTACATCAGTGTTGCAACTGTGAACATTTACATCTATAAAACATTAGTGCATATGAATATCATAAGTGAATGTTCACATTTGGCAGAGAAGAATAACATTCACAACTATTATGAATAAGAACAAATGTGACAATTCACACGTGTATGAGATCCGTAATGATGTCATGTAGACATTCTTGCAGAAAATATGTGTACTATAGAACAATCTGGTTCAAACAATCGCATAAATTATGCCAACCACAACACAGCAGTATGAATATTATAAGTGAATATGAACATTCAGATCAGTGTTGCAACTGTGAACATTCAGATCTATAAAACATTAGTGTATATGAATATCATAAGTGAATGTTCACATTTGGCAGAAAAGAATAACATTCACAACTGTTATGAATAAGAACAAATGTGAATATTCACACATGTGTATGTGATCCGTAATGATGTCATGTAGACAAAGTATACATTCCTGCACAAAATATGTGTATTATAGAACAATAGAGTTCAAACAATCGCATAAACTACACTCATAACAACACAGCAGTATGAATATCATAAGTGAATATGAGCATTCACATCAGTGGTACAACTGTGAACATTTACATCTATAAAACATAACAACACCAAAGGTAGATCAAAATTCACAGGTGGCTTTTTCCCATTAATAGATGTTGTATCATTGTTTTACAATCAGTTGTTGTGTCAAAATGTCAAAGCAATTGATATTAACATTCATATCGAGTGTTGGTCAGTTTGTAGGTGGACACCCCCACCTATAGGTTTTAATGACGCTCTGATTTCTTATGATTCAAAAAACTATGTACTAACAAATCTCGTAGTCCACACCATTCAGAACTAATGAGGCTGCCCACAGTTTCTTCATGGTATATGTACGCCCGCATGATGTAACATATTGCAGGTCCGCAGTCCATTCTATAAATGCAAAATGGTTTTGATTAGCAGTTGACATGTATGTTTGCATCATGATTATAGAGGATTTGTAAAAAATGTAGTGAGGCTTACGAGTCGTCGCGCTGCCGAGGACAGACATCAACTGATATGATTGGTTGTGATGGATATTGGCCTACTAACTTAGTGCATAGCGGTGATGACTGGCCAATAACGTGCACAACGTTCTCGATGTACTTCCTCTGTGTAGGTGTAGGGAATTTCAAATTAGGCACCAACAAACAGATGTGTGTGTACATTCATTTAACGCATAACAACAAGTCATATTTGTGTACAAAAAGAGTCACTTACAACTTCCTGTGCTTGGTCGATATGTGGGTCATGTATGCCTGTCCTTGGCCGCAATGAGTTGTAATGCCTCCACAAATTATCTTTAGCATCATACACAACTATCGTCTAGTAGAAGTCATGGTGCAATGGGAATAATAGGTATCTCTCTCCTTGGTAGTTTTTGACATGTGCATCAATGTGTTTATTCCTTTTGCGAGGATGGTACTCTCGTATCACTTTCTGTACACATTGGACAAATAATTAATGGACTGTGAAGTTTCACATTCACATTAGGAAAAATGGAATGATAGATTTTACCAAGCATATGCTCGTGAAGATGAATGATGCTTCATCTGAAGTTGGGTTGACCACCGCTTGTTGTTCATGTAATAATTCGACATATGCATCTATGAGCTGCACAAACATAGGGTCATATTATATTATTTGTGGTGAGTGAACAATGTGTGTCTGTGGCTGTGGGTGTGTGTGTGTGTCTCTGTGGGTATATGCATGAAAAGTGAATCATCTTCGTAATGGCATACATTACTGTGTATCGATTCCTCCTTGATAAGGTTCACAATGTCAGCAAAATACACGTGTAGACTTCAAGTCTCCTTTCCACACAAGCAGTCTGTGCATTTTAAACAAACCAATGTGAATATTAACATTGCAAAGTTTTAAACAAATCAAATAAATAAACATAGTGGTGAATATTGACAATTATGGAATGTGAATGTTGACATTAGATGTTTGTACATTCACTTACTCATCGCCTCCACTCTTTTGTAAAGTCTGGACCTTTTGCTTGTCTTGTTTGGATATCTTGCTCCAGACTTTGAACTTGTTGCTCAATGTTAATTTTTTTGGGTGCTTCGCTGGTGGGTGTTTGTCCACATCTTCAACCATTTCAACTGTATGGGGCTGTTTTTGGCCAGGTAAGTCTGGGTACTGGAAGTCAGGCAAGCGATGTTCTTTTCGATCTTTTTCCTTTATACACTTCACCCTAGAAGGTAGGCTGAGATTGTGTTACATTGGGCTAGGGGGTTGCTTCTGTGCCTCAGCCTGTGTGACAATGTGGACTGACTGGTCATCATAAAGGTCCTGAAGAATTGTTTTCTCGCATTCTAAGTCGATGGCCAACTGCATTAAGCGCTTAATTTCTTTATCCTTCTGCTCCATACACTTTTTTATTTCGGTATTCATGTTGGGTGGGCTTGACTGGTTGAACAATTTATGTTCAAGATCAGCTATGACTCTTGCCCTTAACTCCCATGAGAATTGAAGGTGTTTGTATTTTGCTTCCCATTGCATTATGATGCTACAAGCCTTTCGATTTTATTTGATAAGCACATCAATGAAATCAGGTTGGTTTGTGTTTGCTATGACAATAGCTCTCACATCATGTGGGCTACTAAACGGAATCTGAATGTCCTCATTACTGTCCTTTAGCTCAACTCCATCCCGAGAAAATTGGGAGTTACTGCCATTGTGTTGTTTTTTCTTGATGTCAGATAGGTTGGGAGATGTTGTGGCTGGTTCATAAATTTTAGGCTCCACCTTCAATGTTGTACGCCTGAACTTTTGTAATTCTATTGGGGTTGCAAAGAGTTCGCCAGCATTAACCTGAAATGAAAAAGTTATGTTACTTAACGTATATATTTGGGTGGTGTTATAATGTGAATGTTTTGATCAATAGTTGAAGGTTCTACCTCATTAAAACCAATATCAGTCAAAGAGGTGGTTTTCATCTTCTTTTGTAAAGCAGTCAGATCCCACTTGACACAGCGAGGAAAGGCATTGGGCTTGTGTGGTTGTAGGATGGTTGTGTGCTCACACAACCAATACTTCAATAAAACAACAAACACATATGTTATTTAGCATTTGCATAGTAATGTCAACATATGTGAACATTAATAACAGTGGCACTGTTGCGAACATTCACAGTAGAATATCATGAGTGAATATGAACATTCACATCAGTGGTATAGATGTGAACATTCACATCTGTGAAACATAAGTGCATATGGACATTCACATCAGTGGTACAGATGTGAATGTTCACAGTTAGCTTAGATGAACAACACTGAAGGACGTATGGGTGTTATTATTTGACAACATGGGTACTTACCATCAATAACATGACACAGCCGGTGACTTCTGTCGGCTTTTTGTCGTTTTGGGAAATGGAGGATATCAACGTTGTTCTAATTTGCTTAACCCAATCATATTCTTGCATGCTTTCCAATGGGACCATATGTGCGTAGTAGCCCCATCTTATTGTCTCGCCGCTTGTTGAGAAAAAAAGTTTTTGGCAAGCATACATGCAGACTAGTCGGGCGACTTCTTCGTTTTCATCTTTCTTTTTGTCTTTCAATGCCTCAGTCAAAAGGGTGCGTATCCATTTTGAAGTCAACCGGCTAAAATTTTGCACATTTTGTTTATAATGCTAGTCTTTGGTTTCGCACCATATGATATGTCCATCGGCTTGATGCCACAGTCCACACCAAAAATCAGCTTGATGTCGTTGTCGTGTATGTTCATCTTCTTCTCCCCAATGTAGAAGGCATCTTTTAAAGTTTTGTACATTTGTAGGACATGCACAACAACATCATCGTACTTCATGCATTTGTCAAGGTCGATCTCATTGTTTCTCAATGCATCTAACAAATGCCAAAAAGGTGTTTGTTGCAGGCAGCCAAGCTGTACTTATGTGAATTTGGTGCTTTTCATTAATTTCACCAGTCCGATCATGTTAGATATTTAGTTCACACGCCGCATGTCAACATTGCTGCTAGTATTTGCTTGTGGGCTTTCTTCCTTGACATGGTACTCATCTCTTTTTCTCTATGAGGTTTTCTTCTGTGCAAGATCTGCAAAATGGAGCATTTAAAAAAAATTAAGTCAAGGCTCATGTGATTAGCATCGTGGAACAGATGTGAACATTCACAGCATTGCCACTGATGTGCGTGTTCACAATTGTGTGCATGGGTGTGAATGACCACAGTTTGTGTATGGATGTGAATATCCACATCTGTACATGGATGTGTATGTTGACTATGTCAGCACAAACACAATGTACATATTATGTGAGTGTGTAAAAATCAATGTATTTTTATACAACCATGAACAACATTCAAGAACAAGTGGATGTTAACACAAACATATAAAAGGATGTTGTGAACATTTACAGCCCTAATTCGTATGGCAATGCACATTCTTACTACAATCATGCAATGCCAATCTTATAGAACAACCTCAAAATTGAAATACAATTTGAAACATGGGATAAAAAAGTGATATATTTCCTCTAAACACAGTGGTTAATATTCACAAAGTGTCTAATTAATTTACACATGTAATGAATGTTCACAACATAATTATGTATCACAACAACATCTAACACAAGGAACTTTAAATGTGAATGTTCACTACGGTTAATAACAACAATTTGATAGAGTGGGGGAAAGATAGTGCTAATATTTGCAGGGACTTCATTTCATGCCACTTTCATGTAAAATAATCAAGAATTGAAGGTTCAACTTATTGGATCACCATTAACAGTCAACAATACCAACAAGGCAAACATTCACAAAAGGGGGAAAAAATCTACAATATTACAAAATAATGATTGGCCAAACATTTTCAATCCATGTGAATGTTCACATCATTGAACAACAACACCAATAATATCCAGAATAATTTGATTATCCAAACATTTTCAATCAATGTGAATGTTCACAACTTTCAACAACAACAACAAAAACAATTTGATTTGGCTAACATCTTTCCAAACCATTTGAATGTTCACAGTTGTGAACACAACATAATGGCAACTGTAATGTTTTTGATTGAAAAAATCAATATAATTAGGGATTATGATTGAGGGGTTCAAATTAAAGGTTAGGGTATGAATAATATGGACTCCTATATATTGTACGAATAGAAACAGGGGATATTTGTGAAAATTCACAATGTTGTTTGTTGAAAAAGAGATTTAGGGTTTAAATACACGAATGAGTAGAATGCTTACATTTTTTGCCCATTTCGACAGTTGCGTTGTCACAAATAGTCGTCGAAGGTGATTTTGACGAAGATAGACCTTACAGATGTTCAACAATTGTGATTCCACGATTTCAGCGACCGACGGTGTAGGGACGATGAAGAAGATGATGAGACGATGCAACGATAGAACAAAGACAATCTTCTGGGCGTTAAAGCGATATGGAATACGGATTGGGATTTCTGGAATGGTAGAGATACTGTGCGTGATTTCCTGCGCAAGAATAGAGGGGAAGAGAGACGGTTATTAGATTCAAAGAGACACTGCTGGAAAACAGACTTTTAGTAGCGTTTAAAAAATGCCGCTATGAGTGCCAAAAACGCCGCCAATTCCTTTTGCGACGCTTAGCACCAAACACCGAGGACGTGGCCGTCGCTATAGCTTTGTGGCGTTTTAAAAACATCGTGATATTAGTATTAAAAACGCCGCCAAATATCCTACTAAACACACCTGACGATATTTAGCGACGTTTTTCTTTTTTTAAAAATATGACCGTTAGTAAGTAGGGTTTAAAAGGCGCCGTCATATATCTTCTTTTTTTTTTTTTTTGAAATTGTGCTAATTTTATTTGATTGAACTAAAAAAATACCTGTAATGAAACATTAATTCACTTTCTCATTCAATTAATATCCAATCACCATTACCCACAAAATTAACATATTCAAAATCTAAAAATCATGTCTTAACATTAACCACAAACTAATATATATCCAAAAATCATGTCTTAACATTAACCACAAACTAACATATATCCAAAAATCATGTCTTAGCATTAAATTTGTAGTATTCACTGGTCTACATGCCTGCATCAAAACATAAACTCCAATCAGATTCACCAAAATAAACACAAATTAAAGAATTTGTACCAAATACTTATAAACAGTACTTGAAGAAGCACTAACAAAAAGATTTTATCACATACCAAGAAGCACTAACAAGAAGATTTTATGCATAAGTGATCACATAAATATGGGAGAAATTTATAAGTACAATTGAGAGAAATCAGAAGAATGACGACCAAGAGTTACCTAAGATGGCAAAGAAATTAGATGTGAAAATTGCGGAAGGGTCTCGAGTAACACCAAAACCTGAAAATGGGCTTCAAATTATCACTAAAATACTAACTACAAAATCCTCAAGCTCTTTGAATGTTTACACCTAACATGGACAGGGACGAAGGGAACCCACTGCGAATGCAATATCACTGAGCTCAATAACTGCCACTGTCAGAAGTAAAGGTGTGGCCTGCCAAAAATGATTGATGCCCATTAAAAGTCAATTTAAACTATAATTTAACACAATCAATGGCCTTTAAATTTCTGTGCAATAAAAGAAGTCATCTGCTGATCCAGAGAGAATTTTGAAGTCCTTCCATGCAATTAAAAATTATCTCTTATTAAGTATGTTGAATAGATGATGCAGGAAAGTTGCAAAAATATTGCGCTAAGATAAACCCATCAACGACTTACTTTCCACACACCATCCTGAATGGTTATGAATCGATTTCCGTCATAGTTAGCTGCAATATCAAGAAAGAATGATAGCAGATGAGGATCTTAAGCTACAAAATAAGCAATGCGTACTAAAAAATGAATAGGTAAATTAAACCATTAACTACCAGTCAAATGATATTTGGAGTGAAAAGACCCCAAAGATGGCTTAGAGACACAAACATAGGATTAACACAATAATAACTAACTTTTCTCAAATGGTTTGATTCTAATATTCCACCCTTCATCCAGTTAATTTTCCTTCCCTTGGCAGGCTTGTCATACCTGCAACATGCGAAGACTTGTCATAACTTGACAAGAGAAAAAAATTTCTCAAACCATACTAGTTAGAAAATTCCATCCGATGTTAAGACATCTCCAGTAATAGCAATTTCAAGTACTCAAATCTGCATACATACCCATCAATAAAATCAAAAGAGCCCTTAAATTGTTCCGGAAGATTGAGAAGAGAGGAGTCTGCAAAAGGAAATCTCCCTTGGTAGGCAATGTTATGGATGCAAAAAACAACCTGCCATCATTTGTCAGTACTAGTGTTAAATCCCAACAAATAGTCCTTGTCATTTGGCTAAAATTCTTCTGAAGTCATCTGCTGATGCTGATCCAGAGAGAATTTTGAAGTCCTTCCATGCAATTAAAAATTATCTCTTATTAAGTATGTTGAATAGATGATGCAGGAAAGTTGCAAAAATATTGCGCTAAGATAAACCCATCAACGACTTACTTTCCACACACCATCCTGAATGGTTATGAATCGATTTCCGTCATAGTTAGCTGCAATATCAAGAAAGAATGATAGCAGATAAGGATCTTAAGCTACAAAATAAGCAATGCGTACTAAAAAATGAATAGGTAAATTAAACCATTAACCACCAGTCAAATGATATTTGGAGTGAAAAGACCCCAAAGATGGCTTAGAGACACAAACATAGGATTAACACAATAATAACTAACTTTTCTCAAATGGTTTGATTCTAATATTCCACCCTTCATCCAGTTAATTTTCCTTCCCTTGGCAGGCTTGTCATACCTGCAACATGCGAAGACTTGTCATAACTTGACAAGAGAAAAAAATTTCTCAAACCATACTAGTTAGAAAATTCCATCCGATGTTAAGACATCTCCAGTAATAGCAATTTCAAGTACTCAAATCTGCATACATACCCATCAATAAAATCAAAAGAGCCCTTAAATTGTTCCGGAAGATTGAGAAGAGAGGAGTCTGCAAAAGGAAATCTCCCTTGGTAGGCAATGTTATGGATGCAAAAAACAACCTGCCATCATTTGTCAGTACTAGTGTTAAACCCCAACAAATAGTCCTTGTCATTTGGCTAAAATTCTTCTGTTTTAATTTTATTCTTTGCCTAAAATTCTTAACGACGTAATTGAGCAATCTTACTCTGGCATTCTTGTAGATCCCCATAGGCTTGTACTTGGTCTTCAGATAACATGGAAGAAGAGAAGTGTGCCAATCATTGGCAATGAAGACAACATCCTCCCCTGCATTTATGTAAAACAATGATATACCACAGGTGGTCATTATGTAAAACAAACAAGAACATAGATGATTGACTCGTGTTGAATGCAAAACCATGTAAATTTGGAGCACAATGCCAACCTTTTGCCTTGACAGCCCATCGACCGATTACTTCTCTAATATATAATGAGCAATGATATACAAAAAATATATATATATATTCCTACCAAGCACTGTGGTTTATAATTTCAAAAAATTTCACTGCCACAGCATTTTTAGTGAGTTTTCAATATAAAATTTCTGCTTGACAATCATTTTCCATATATAATATAGTAGGAAGTTACGACAAAACAACTGCACTTTTTTATTTTGAATCAAGTGTTCAAAGAATGAAAATCATTCATGGAATTATGGGCTTGAAACTACAGGTTGCATCAAATAACTTACTTGGCACAATATACTGAATCGAATTTGGTTGTCCTGGTAATCCTCCCCTGTCTTAGGCCCATAGATCTTAGATCCAGTTTTACCCCAAACCTTTGAAAGTTCAGAAATTCAAGCATCAGAACTAAGATCAAGCTGACTATTACAGCTAAAGTATATATAGTATACCAAATGCTTTAATGGGATTCCAAGAAAGTTTGCATTCTTGAATCTCATTCCTATACCTATGATACAATGGGACCTAAGGTCGTGTTTGGTTCATGAATTTGATAAGGAAGGAGAAAAAGAAAATGCAATGAAAACCATTACTCCTTATTTGGTTACAATAGAAAACAAGGAAAAGAAATGCAACTAATATATAAATATTGTATTTTTTCATCATCTTCACCATTAACATACACTCGTGATATCATTCATTATCAATTAGCTCACTTCATTGTTTTCTCCATTATACTTATTTTTCAAACTCAAAATATTCTTGACTTTAAAGATTTAGACTTTATAACATTGAAATCAATTAGTTTTGAAGATTTGCACATCATAGATGATACTAAGATGGTTGGTTCCAATATAAACATTGAAAACGTTGATTTGAACATTGAAAATGTTAATTTATGACTTACATTTATCTCGTTCGTATATTGGAAAAATGAGTTTGTTCATCATATTTAGATAATCAAAATTGAACTTTTACACAATGTTTGATTATTTATATTTAAATAAAATAATTTTGTTCAAATTATTAAGATTGACCAAATATTAAATGCTCATACATAAAAAAATAAACATTTTAAGTTAGTTCGGTTAAAATGAATTAAACTTTTATTCATTGTTAAGATATAAATGTTTAAACACATTAAGTTTGTTCAATTCTATATTTATAAAGTATGTATTCAAATAGTTAGTAGTGTGTTAATATATGGTTAGTAATAGAAAGTTAAGGTGTGAATAAAGATATTTTAAGAGTGCTGTTATTAGCACCTACCTAATTTCTTTAGACCCCCAATTCTCACCTTTTTTTTATTGCAATTATACACTGAAATAAAACTATATTAAAGGATAATTTTTAATGGAACACTCACCCACCAAATGAAAACAATTAGAATGATACTTTACAATATTATACACTTACCTCCATCCCCATCTATACATATTCTTTACCAATCTAAAGCCTAATTCTTCTTCATCACCATCATAAACCCACAATTCATCTTCAATGAAAAACATTTGAATCCATCTAATGAATTAACATTTTGTTCTGTGGTTTCAAATGTGTTCGATATTCTAAATCAGTTAATGTTGCAAACAATCCTATTACAGACTATGAGTTTATACATTTGTGGTCCGTTTCACCCTTCATTGATACCTATAGAGTAAAGGATGACAATGACAACAGCTTTGATGAGGTTGGTTGCATTGGTAAGTTTATTATCTTGTTTTACGATTCTGGATCATTTTCGGTTCAATATTGGTTTGCCAACTGTTAAGATTCTGTTATGTTCAGTAAAACAATGTTGAACAAAAACATTTAGTTCAATAATACAGTGCTAAACAAAAACATTTTGTTCAGCTTTGAAATGTTGAACAATTCTATTTTGTAGGATTTCCCTCCTATTTATGTTTTTTTTTTTAAGGCTTTTCCCTTTAAAATCCTTGTATCAAGGGTTTTACTCCGAAATAAAAAATATATGTGTGTGATGAGGAATTGGAAGTTACTTGAGAGAAAAAGAAAGAGATCGTCAAAGAGATTTTCCACTAAGATATTATTGTTCACGATGATAAGGAGAAAGAAACCATCGTATATGAGAGAATGAGAAGATAGGAACAGTCGATTCGTTTCTCAATCGTTCATTGTTTACTAAGAGAAGAAGAAGAGAGAATGTGTAAAATTAAGTGGGTGTATACTTTGGGGTGTTGATATTATGAATATGGGTAAAATTGGTATTAAATGAAGTGTTCAAAGAAATTTTATTAAAATTTAAGGTTTAAGATGAAAGTTTAAAGAAATAAAGAGTACAAAGAAATTAGATAGATGTTAATAGTAATCCTCATTTTTAAACCTTAAAAATTATTTTGTGTATATACTAAGTAATGATATGTACCAAAAGTATTAGTGGTGTTAAATAAAAGGAGTTTTCTTAAGTGTGCAAGTGCACACCATGTGCCACTTACACAAAAAGTGTAAGTGTAAGGTGTAAGTATAAGTATAAGGTGTAAGTGTAAGGTGTAAGGTGTAAGTGGGTTGCACATGGTGTGCAACCTCAAAAAAGGTGTAAGTGTAAGGTTTAATTTTTTACAAAAGGTGTAAGTGTAAGGTGTAAGTGTAAGGTATAAGGTGTAAGGTGTAAGTTGCACACCATAACCAAACCCGTAAATTTCTAATATCAAAAGAATGGCGGACCTCCATGAGTGGGATTGGTGAAAAAGTCACATCACATGCATCAATCCAAATTAGAAAGTAGAGAGAACGAAATATCCCAGGGTTAAACACTTTATTTGCTGTGTTTAAATCATGAATTTAGGTAAAAATTTAAAAAGAAAAAAAAAATCTAACAAAATGTGAATAAAATATAACTATATATCACTTATGATTTATTCAACTTTTCCCTTTTTTTCTTTCTAAATCTCTACCCAAATCCATAATCCAAACACAACCTTACAATCTAGGTTCATGTAATAGACTAGGAATTCTACTGCATAACAATTTCACAAACAGGAGCTATAAATATAATCTGAATTCTACAGCTTCATAATTTATCCAAATCGCCATTCTTGTTTTGTTCCTATCTGTGAACGATGCTAAAATAAATAAATAGAACCAAGAGCAATTTGTCGTCATAGGTTGCAAAATAAATGTAAACATCGTACAGAAATGTCTAATTATATTTTAATGTCCATAGGAAGTTCTCCTCATCATCCTCATAAAGTCATCCACACTTACTTCTCCATCACCTGAACATTGCAAAATATACACTGAATTAATAAACATGGTAAAATTGAGAAAAACCAGGTTGGGGAACAATTTTGAACATGAAGCATGAAGTCATGCACTTCTTCTACTCATTGACATTGTGACATTTGGCAGAACCATAAAATGTGAGTTTTTACAATCAAGTGTCTTGCTTCCGAGAAGATGAATATGTTGGGGGAAAAAGGAAGAATAAAACTGGGGGAGGGGTGGTAGCAAGAATGCTGGAAATTTTAAACTCTTTCTGACTGCTAACAAAAGGACTTCCCCTACAAGTTCAGTGAATGATGGTTTTGGCTCCTCAAATACAATAAAAAAATAATTTACTAAACTAATTGAATTAATAATTTTAATTGAACTAAAATTTATATTAAAAAAA